TTCTGAAACTTCGACACGTATGGCCTAGTTTGGTAACACCACAATGTGAGCAGATAAGTTTCTGTAACCAGATTCGTCTTGCATTTCAACTCTAACTTTGCTTAACTATGTATATTGAGCTGCTGTCTGCCTTGTTCTTGTCTGGAAAGTTCTCTTCAGGTTAACACACCGAATTATCGTTCTTTGTGATTAAGTGCGTCACACATCCCCAACAAAATTCTGTGGCAGTTTACGTTAGGTTTGCTGTTATATTTACTAATTTCTGGTAAAATAAGGGCAATGGAAGGAAGTAGTGTGACATGTAAGATGTGAAAGTCACAAACGTAGCAGATGATAACCTTTGTTATTATCGGGAATTGTATTAAGCGCAAAAGAGTTCTTCGAGAGGCTTTGGAAATTTCAGTGTTTTTGTGTTTCGCTCTTAAGTTTATGACTGATCAGGCAGAGAAGCTGGGACCGACAGCTAACTTGTGTCAATTTTTAACAACTGCGTATTGCTGGTGTCTTCTTATTCTTCCGGCAATTGATTTGAAGTGACTAATTCTTTAACTATTCTTCTGTAAGTTTAAAGTCTTAAAATTCATAATCTTCTGGCCACAGTTACAGATACTAATATATTTCTATTAATTTCTTATGGTGTGGGGTATTATGAACTTCCAGAATATGTGTGCCTTCAGTATATTTTCAAACATTAAATTTAATGCACTGGATCCTGTTACTTCGTAAGGATACCTGTAGACATAGGCTATATTGCCGACATTTCGGAGGTCCTAACTGCCTCCAACTTTAGGGTAAAATGATATTTAGTGAGGGACTTAAAAGCACAGTTTAATATCTGTACTACTAAAACACGAAGGGGCAAATGGATATTCAATTCACTTTAAATTGAGAGTCTTTTAAATGTCGGCAGCCAGGCCTACACGCAACCATCATCCAGAAACAGAATATACATTATCACTAAACAGACATGAAAACCAACAATCTTCTAAGCCCTACATGTTTTCTTGAGACTTACTGAATTCGTGGCTGAAAAGTGAAGTCCTTTTTTAGCTATATAACAATATAAGATCCATCTGAAGAGATTAGATAAAATCATGTATCTGTTTCGGTTTCCCGAGCTGGTTAACTGAAGCAATAACAAGTTTGGTTTATACCCTGTTCGAATACTAATCGTAGTGCCAGCTATTCTGATTAAAAGTCAACCTGGTTTTCCACAGTCCTTCCTAAATAATTCTGAATAATAATTTCCAACAGGTCTCGATATTTCCTCCCCAGTCAGTTTTATATTTTTTATTATAATCATTTGTCTCATTTGATTCTATATAACTTCCGAAGTTGTTTAGGCATTTGATTATGGTTATAAGAACTTTCCTTGACAATGGAGAGAGAGAGAATCTGATTTATCGATTTTGGTCTTGTGTTTTGTAACGCCGTGCGGAAGTGCAGATAGACGCCATCGTTTCGAGGAACATACAGCATCCATCTTCAAGTGAAATATGTTCCTCTCTCAAACTTTGGTAACTTCCTACACGTCTACACAGAAGACCAACATCAGTCTTCACGGCCTGAGAACCTGAAAATCAAGTTTGACGTTTTAACTCGATGGTATTGAAGGCGTTGATCTCGCGCTACAGAGTCTGACTTGAATTTTGCAGGCCTTTGTATTCAATCCCAACGCGAAGCATTGCGATTGTATATCAAATCTAAAAGTTAGTGACGATGGTGAGTTATTTAAATAAAAAGTTCTTTAGATATTTTCCATCGTCTAGTAAAATAATAAAATAGAAACAACGTTTCGGGAGATAGGGATTGGCTCTATCTTCCCTTCTCCGAAACGTTGTTTCTATTTTATTATTTTACTAGACAATGGAAAATATCCAAAGAACTTTTCACTTGAATTACAATTGTAGTTTTTCTTATCTTTCCTTAGGGTCTCGGGAAAAACGCTTATCCTTGTTCAAGTATGTAATGTCTATGTCTTCACGATTCAACCGAACATCACGGTTGAGTGGTTTAATTCCCTGCCTTCTGTTCTGAAGATTCTAATTTCGAATCTCAGCCTGAATAGTGTCTATCCTTATGGAAGATTTGTAGGGTTTATCTTAGTCCCTTTAGGAAAATTCTGGAGTACTGCCGTAAACAGCGCGTGGCTGCATTAAACCACATCATTTTCCATTCATAATTCATTATCATAAAATTCACTGGTATTAAATTCGTTTAGTAACCCAAGAATTAGTTGCCTGATTCTATTCGTAATTAACAAAACTGGCGATGTTTTAATTGACTGTGTATTTGCAACACAATCCCTGGCAATAATATAGGAAGTGACTTTCGACAATAAATTCCAATTAGCTTCTTTGAAAATAACTATGTGAACAATACTGACACTCCTGGAAAATATTCTGTAGCTTATAGCGATAATTTTACACTTTGCTCGTGTTTCTTATTGGGTTTAACTCGATTTCCCATTACGATTTCGATAACAGACTACATATTTATTACCGTGGGCATGGACAGAGAATGAAGCGAGATGGTTTATCATAATGCTAATGAATTTTTATGATTATCATCTACTGAGGTTGTGCAAACTGGTGTTATTTTAGAAACTTAAACACAGCTTGTACTAAAGAAACTGCATTTTGTAAAGTTGTTCTTGAGAAGGCAATAGTTGCCAAGTCAAGAAATTTTCCGTCCTCTAAAGAACCTGAATATTAATCACTGTCTTCACAAGAACCCGTGCGCTGCTGATCCCCATCCTGGGTCACGTTCCTTTAGTTTACACCCTCCCATCCTATCTCCTTAATATAAATTCTAATATTATCTTCATGTCTACGCCTAGGACTTCAGATTTTCTGATCAAAATGTTGAATGCTTCTAACTTATTACATAAATTATGCAGGGCCTCAACATGCAATATTTTACAGCATCCTTTTACTGTCTCTTCGGTCCAAATATTTTACTCAATATCCTTTTAGCAGACGCACTAAACCTGTGTTATCCCCTTAAAGTGAGAGGCTAAGGTTCAAATTTGTACAAGACAAGAAGTAAGAATATAATTTGGCATATTTTAATCTGAAAGGTTTTAGTTTGCAGACAGAGAGACAAAAGATTTTGATCTGAATGATACCAATAATTTAATATTAACGTTTTCGTTAATTTAAGATATATTTATTGGTATAGTCCCTAAATTATTTAATTTTGTCACATTTTCGAGCGATTTAATAGCTGTCTTTTTATTTTATTACTGAGCTGGTAAATAAAAATGGTTATATACAAAAATTTTAGTTTACTTCTGAATCAACTTTTTTCCTTGCCCAATACCTGCATACAGCTTCGATTTCATGGCGATAACTAATGAACCTTAGAGACAGGTGCGTAATGTTAGAGCATAAATATTTCTTCAAATTCTTTACGAATCAAACCGAAACGTTAAGGTTGTATCTGAAACAGTTTAATACAGTCAGAAACTGTGTACTGTAGAAATCATGCACAGAAATTTATAACTAAATTATATTACCAGTATTCTTTCCAGCTTCTTCATACAGAGTATAAAATTTTAACATGTGTATACATCACACGATCCTCCAGGACGTTCATGGTATATTATCAGCAAAACGCAAGAACATGGCCATAAATGTAGTGTAGGCCCGCACAAACACGAGCAGTATCGAGCGACGTACATCACGGAACTCTGAATGGGGGATTCGCTTCATTCACTACAGAATTTAGGCAGTGTTCATATAAGGGAATGGTCGAAGTCTCCCGTGTAACGAAACCTGCAGCTTGTAATTTTGTCGAAATTACAGGAAAATTCATTACTTCACATTTGTTAATATAGACTAGCACGTCTGTAAATAAGTGAAAGTGTGGGTATGATGCACATTGAATGTTTATACGACGAATTTTTACTTTTCTTAAGCGGTTAGACATAATTCTAAAAGTTAAACTGTTGCTGTTACTCGTTGTCAAAAAGGTGTATTTTCTATGAAAAATTGTAATTTTACTAACTTTAACAAATTTGCTGCAAACTAAAGGTCAGTCCTCAAAAACTTCCGGGTACAGTCTACATTTTAATGAAGTAGTTATACAGAAGTTTTTGTCTTTACTGGCGACAAGTCGTATATAAAAGTTCTGTTACAAATAATTAAACCGACTGATTTTCAAAGACCCTGGATTGTTCTCTCAGACCAGAGGCCATACAGGCTTGTCCTGACAGTTGTGATCTTGCTGTTATTCAGTCCTAACACACATCTTTTCAAATTAATTTTTGGAGCTTTCTGGAACCTATGCAGTTAAAAAGTCGATACCCTAAATGAAGTGAGGAAGTAATAAAATTGTGTGTTCCCAGAACATGTAAAAATACCAAATATACCAAACAATTTACTCATTCCACTATGGGTAACTACATGGAAATATAACTAAGAACCCTGTTTCATAAAATTTACAAAATTTCAATGAATGTTCCTTGCTACTTTTATCGTGCGCCAACTTACAATTGTGTAAACTCTTCGTTCGTAATGTTGTATAAAAGTAATGCATGTTAACATTTACTGAGATGGTTATTTATAATTTATCTTAGTTAATATATTCATTTTATTTGAACCTATACTCAACTCTACGTGTCTTCCTTCACATCAATTTTCGGACTTGGTGAACGTTCGTTATAATAGATTCATCACCCCATTATGCCTCAAAGATATGTATTTTCTTTGAAGTATACACGATCCTTTCAAACGTAAATTGAGTATTTCGCTGTAATAGAAATTGTATGACTATGTTACACGCAAAGCTACCTAACATCAAACAAAAGACTGGTGTTCCTTTTCGCGCTTGCTGAAACACTTTGTGTTTTAAATTCTTATTGCTGTTCAAGGTATACCCTTTGAAAACGTTCATACTTCGTTGTTTAATATAATTACAATACTTTAAACTTCACGATAACATTTTTTAAACATTCAAAGCTAACAATGCAGGAGGACATAAATAAAACATGGCATTACCTTTCGGGTCAGAGACCTGTTGAGATAAGAAGAAGAAGAAGACGCAGCCGGAGCAGGGTAGGGAAGAAGCGATGCGAGCCAGCCAACAGGTGCCTGTCGCAAACCCGGCCGACGTGTCTACAACACGGGGAGAGACGAGATAATGCTTACAGAGATGAGCAAAGCCAAGGGGAAACGGCCTGCTGGCCGGCATATGCAGAGACGAGCGCGCGGTGATACCGTCCGCTCGCACCGGGGCAGGCGTACGATGGAGTCTGCGCCGCTCTGCAGTTTCAGCGAGTACGACGCACAGACCTTTCCCCCAGCTGTCGTGGTCTTTCAGCTCACAACATACACCTCCCTATCCATCCCAGACCCTTCACCCCTCGCTCACTGCCGTTACCTCTTTTATCATTCGGATGAGAGTTCATTCAGAACACCGGGTGAAAGAGTGGGTGACTGAATTGGATGCGTTTATACAGAATGATTCGATATTTACTTCCCCTCGACGCCGCACAGCGTTCCGTGTCTCGTTTTTAACTCGCAGGGGATTTGAAACGGAATGATACTGAATATGCAATTAGAAGACGATGGAATGTCGTAAAGCTCCTGTCCCAAGGTGCAGATCCAGACGGATAAGAAATTATATGTAATCACAAGCATGATTACTTCCGTTACTACAGCTTCATGTATGTAATTATAGAATTAAATTGGGTTTTGAGTGTCTGCACTCGAGAAGAAGTAAAAATACTTCACTTAAGTCACAGGTCTTAATGAAATTTCGCGGATATGGGAACAGTGGTACTGGATGTACAAAATAATAGTTATTTTATGTCATGCCACAACCATTCTAAACTAAAATGTCGACATCAATGATTTAGAAGTTCAGCTGCAGTTTATTTCTGTACAGTGCTTTAAAACTTCTACACCGACTTTAAGATCGTGTACTGAGACGGTCGACGTCAAAAGGAGCTTCACCTTGAAGTGCATGACCCGCGCACGCTTGTGTAATACTATTCTTCTCTAAACCAGGGCTTTCCTTTGTATGATTTGAGGTTTCAACAACGTTGAGTGTGAAGATTTCTATCTTCTGGGTTTATCGCCCTGATGACGGAGGCAGTATGACCTCTGAAACGTTGGTAAACATCTGCCATACTACACAGAGCAATAACCCAGAAGACAGAAATCTTCAGGGCTTTCCTTGTTTCTCAAACACGGTTTACTTTATACAGAATTTAAATAACACACATGTATATTCCATTTAAGATGATCATCAGAGCTTATTGAACAAACTGAAAAGGAGATAATTAATTTAGTTCATTGTTCAGGCAACCAAAATTCAATTACGTCATTAGATCAGTAAATTATGCATTCTGCCAAAGTCCATAGAACAGTGATCAGGAAATAAATGGTATATACTTTAGTTATTGAACTATATATTAAATTCCAGTATTATTTTGTAAATGAGGAAACACGAGCGGTAGAAGATGAAGAGGGGAAAAGGTGTGGAATATTGGTAAAAGTATACGAAGACTAAAACTAAAGAAAAAATGCAATATCCTTTAGAATAACAATGATGGCAGCTTTTCTCACTAATAACAGATCAATAACAGAAACTAAACGTAAATTGTAATGAAATATTTAGTCATTTCGTTGATTAAAAGTTGTTGTTTCATCGTCATTACTGGTCGACCGAAATTACTTGCCAAAATATTTAAATATCAGATTTTGCGATGTTTCGACTGTGTGTGTGTTTTTCTGAAAATTGAAGGGCCATAACACAAATATTGGCATTTCATATTGATACTTTATTGAATCTATTAGTTCTTACAATTTGCAGAGTCGGGCATGACTTCCTGGTCGTTAAAAACCGCAAGTAAAGCTTTCAATAAATAGGATTCGAACAAAATTTATCATTTAAGCCTAATTTGGTATGTTCTAATACCAAAAATATATTGTAAAGGCATATATTATAGCAGTGCGCTTTCAGGTTCTCACGGCGGCTGTTATGAAGATGGCTGTTTCTGGGTTGTTGCGCTGTGTATTCTGGTAGAAGTTCACCGACGTTTTAGAGGTATTTCGTGTCTATTATCACGGCGGTCATCGCCATGAAAATTGAATCAGCAAGTACCTCTGGAACGTCAGTATATTTCCGCCAGACTACACGGCGCAACAACCCAGAAGACTGCAGTCTCTACAGGTATAAGAGTTACTGAGACGTGCATAAATCCAATAGAGTTCCATTCCTATGGTTTTGCATTCCTCCGACACACTATTCCAGCACAGCATGTGAAAATTCCGTGTTAAATCAGTGTTTAATGTACGTTCCACCTGCTTTAATGTCCATTAGCTCTGAATTTTGTCTACATAATGTTTTAATTTACTCTGATCTCAAAGTAAACAGAAATTATTTCCTTCAACAGTTAATCGATGTAATGGAGACGGGGTTTATTACCTTTGAGGTAGGAAATAAACATTTAAATAAAAATTAAATGGGTGTTTTGCTTCAACAGGAGCTGTTTGGGAAACTTTACACCGTGGACATAAATTATTTCGTTTTCTCCTTAACAGTACGGTCCCCCCCCCCATGTTTCTTTTCCCTTTCTTTTCGGCTTTAGAGTGTAAATGATAAAAACAAAGGCAGGTTTCATGGCTAAGCATAATATACCATTAAAAATAACACATCGGCAGAGGAAGCTGAAATTTAGAATTTATTGACGATATCAACACATTAAAAATTAAAGATTTTTGGAAATATCATATTCAGACAATTGCGTCATATGCGTTTCATAGCTGAAAATTTATTGGTTGTTACATAGTGGAGTTTTGTGTGTATGGTTTTACAAATGATGTGCATGACGTAAAGAGAATACCTCCTTGTGTGTATGTATTAATTTTTTATCTGTTACTTTGTTTTGCGATTCCCATAATATAAATGTCACACTTGGTTAATCTCTGAAATTTCTTCCCTGAATGAAAGTGACGCAATTTAAATTTATTTATTATTACAAACATGTACGTATACCCTTTAAAAACAAAGCTTATCTAAATAATTCAGTTTCTACAGCAAAATGGACAAAATCTATTCATCACAAAGAGCTGTTGGTTAATACTTTTTTTATGGAAATAATCTCTGTTTGATCTAAAAATCATATGAAACAAACAAACAAACTGTGTGGGTAAAATTCAGAATTGTAGATGTTAAAGCAGGTGGTAAGGTTAGGTTACGACTGGACTTTAAGGGATTAACTACACAGCGTATCACAAAAAACACGTAAACCGAAGTTTAAATGTACATATTTTCTTACGATTATAGAGAAATTTAAATAAGATTATGGAATGAACATATTGCAAAGGTGATTGACGACAAAAGAAATGCATATCAGAAATAATTATCTACTAAGGAAGAAGATAAAATAGATTATCACCACAAAAGAGCAATAGCTAAAAGGAAAGTTTACATATAACACAGAAAGGGCTGGAAAGAATTTGAATCCTTAGAAATTATGTTCCAAGATCCCAACAACAAACTTATACAATTTTAAATAAATTAGGCAAAGATTTGAAAGAAAACTTTCAAATAAATATAATTCCGCAAAAAACCTGGACAAATTATTTTAAAAATATGGAATCCCTCAAAATGCTCTTTTCAGATAACCAACTGAAGGAATCTGTTACAATTCTAACGCAACTTCTGATGGTACTTATTAACCTAAAAGTCAATAAAGCCCCAATTGAAGATTCGACAAATCGTAAACTATTTAATTATGCTAGCCGCTCTTTCTTAACTAGATTCCTTCGACTTCTAAATCTAAACTGGGAAGGAGAAAACTGCTTGAAATAAAATTTAATCGTCATTTTTAAACAGGGAGAAAGAAAGGGCTGCAACAGTTACAGGGGAGTAAGTTTATTGAACTTGGGCTAACAAAATATATTTTAATACCTTACGTTGATGTCCGTGAGCGCACTCTACTTCTATTGTTTGTATTTTACTGCTACAAATGATTTGTATTCTTTATTAGAAAATATTTTAAGTCTGCATAATTACATATATCCGGAATGTCTTGTGCGAGAGAGTTGTAGAAGGAACTTTCGGAGGACACGGGCGTTTCGACTTTAGAATTAGAGAGATGTCCTTCTAGACCCACCGGGAACTGACTTTCTACGTCTGTGAGCTGTCTTCGATCAACAGCCCGTTAAGCTACCCTTGAGACGAACACCCTGATCATCTGACAAACCGGTTCGAGAAGGTGAAACGGTTTTAATATGCTAGTATAATTAAAAACAAATGCAAATATTAGCTTCCGAATAGGTATATCTTGTACAGGTGTGTATTTTACAATAAAAATTATGGCGGAAAAAAACATGGAGTTCAACATACAAACCCAAATATCTCTTGTGGACTTTAAGAAACTTTTTATAGAGCCAACAGATCCAAGCTACTAGCGGTTTTGAGAAAATATAAATTTCCACATCAAATTAAGAATGTATACAATATATGTATAATAAATTCGACTTCAGTTAAAATAGAGCAGAGACAATCACCACGGAAATCAATACAAGGGTACGACCTCTCACTTTTACTCTTCATAATTTATATGAATATTATAATTGAGGACTGGAGAGAACCCCGAGGATCAAAACATATACACAGAAATATAAAGCTAAATGCAATACTTTTCACAGATGACTTAGCTCTCATCGCGAGATCAGATGATGATCTGGGAAGCTCAGATCATAATTTACATATAATAGCATCCAGATATAACATGGAAATCTCAATAGAAAAAACAAAAATAATATTTTTTCGTGATAAATAATCTGTACAAAGCAAAATATGCATTACTAATAAAATAATAGAAAGAATAAACGAATTACCTAAGATATAATATATATTTTCAAAAAGAGAAAGATATTTCTCAGAAAATATATGAAAAACAGTAGCCATCATTAATTATGTTCTAAAACCATCTGACAGTTAGTCTGAAGAGTCTACTTCTTAATTATGCAGTATAGAATACGTTGAACGTAAAACATTCTCAGGAAATGATAACTGAAGAAGTAGCTTTGACCGGTATTCCCCACCCTTAGGGGTAATGACAGTCACTATTTGAGCTTCAACATATCACTGAAGTAAATAAGATACTGAGTGAATAAAATGTGTTTTCTTAGTAAGTAATAGGCAAATATCTTAGTTTACAAAATGTGTACACGTCTAAATCATTTGAACTAACAAATTCTAATAGATTGTTAAGAT